ATTGAAATAAAACTAGCATTTTATTTACATTTATACATCAAAGTAACCATTGCCATACTTGGTGATCTTAAATAAAATAACAAAATTTAGTATCAAACCTAATTTTTTTATTGATGTCATTTCTCTACGTCATTTACGGCTTTATTTAGAGGTAATGAATCTTAGATTTCCTTTCTGTTATTAAATACATTTATTTGTTTCATTGCATACTACTCTTTTTATGTCAGGTACCTATAGGTTACAAAGATATTATATGTAGCTTAGTTCCAAAGGAAAATGTATGTAAAATTTAGGAAGAGGCATCTCCGATACCATAAAGTATACATAGTCTTGAACAGTATAACCAGGCATAAAAATATTGGCTTTATTTGGGTGTTTTTAACAATATTTGTTTTCATTAGGCCATACTCTCACATTCCCTTTGATTTTTCCCATATTTCCCTGGGTAACTCACACTCGACTCCTACTTGTTCATTAAGAATTATTTGGTAACTTTGAGTAGGAGAACTAATATAAATATTTTTCTAATATTAATCTAATCGAAATATTTTTCTCTTTCCTTAGCGAAAGGCAACGAACGTCGTCGCCAGCGAAAGGAACTCTCCACATCTGAGGTAATCTCACTCTGCACACAACACACAGACAGATATCCAAAATGGAGCTGCGCGTAGGTAACAAATACCGGCTGGGTCGCAAGATCGGTTCAGGATCCTTTGGTGACATTTACCTGGGCACCACCATCAACACCGGCGAGGAGGTGGCCATTAAGCTGGAGTGCATTCGCACCAAGCATCCCCAGCTGCACATCGAGTCCAAGTTCTACAAGACGATGCAGGGTGGCATTGGCATACCGCGCATCATTTGGTGCGGCAGCGAGGGTGACTACAACGTGATGGTGATGGAGCTGCTGGGGCCCTCGCTGGAGGACCTGTTCAACTTCTGTTCGCGCCGCTTCTCGCTGAAGACGGTGCTGCTTCTGGCGGACCAGATGATCTCCCGCATCGACTACATTCATTCGAGGGACTTCATACACCGCGACATAAAGCCAGATAACTTTCTTATGGGCCTGGGTAAAAAAGGCAATCTGGTGTACATTATTGACTTTGGCCTGGCCAAGAAATTCCGAGATGCACGTTCGCTGAAGCACATCCCGTATCGGGAAAACAAGAACCTCACGGGCACAGCCCGCTACGCCTCGATCAATACACATCTCGGGATTGAGCAGTCGCGCCGCGACGATCTGGAGTCTCTCGGTTATGTCCTCATGTACTTTAATTTGGGTGCATTGCCCTGGCAGGGCTTGAAGGCGGCCAATAAGCGACAGAAGTATGAAAGGATATCCGAGAAGAAGCTGTCCACTTCGATCGTGGTGCTATGCAAGGGCTTCCCCAGCGAGTTTGTCAACTATCTGAACTTCTGCCGCCAGATGCATTTTGACCAGCGGCCCGACTACTGCCATCTGCGCAAGCTCTTCCGTAATCTGTTCCACCGCCTGGGCTTCACCTATGACTACGTGTTCGATTGGAACCTGCTGAAGTTCGGCGGTCCCCGCAATCCGCAGGCCATCCAACAGGCGCAGGACGGAACAGACGGCCAGACGGGACATGATGCGGTTGCTGCAGCAGCAGCTGTGGCAGCCGCCGCATCGTCGCACCAACAACAGCAGCACAAGGTCAACGCGGCGCTGGGTGGCGGCGGCGGTGGTGGAGGCAGTGCAGCGCAACAGCAACTCCAAGGAGGCCAAACACTGGCCATGCTGGGCGGAAATGGAGGAGGCAACGGAAGCCAGCTGATTGGCGGCAACGGACTCAACATGGACGACTCAATGGCGGCCACGAACTCGTCGAGGCCGCCATATGATACGCCGGAGCGACGTCCATCGATACGGATGCGCCAGGGCGGTGGAGGTGGCGGCGGCGGCGGTGGAGTCGGCGTGGGCGGCATGCAAGGAGGCGGGGGCGTGGGGAACGCCAAATAATATTTTATCGTTTAAAATGCAACGCTGGCCACGAAACAGTAGACAGGCGGAACTCAGCAGCAACACTATACATGTAGAATATATAGTTATATATACCTAATATATATATATACGATACTTGCTTTATATATGCGGTAAACACATGTTGAATGTATCCAAAACGGCAGGAGGACCAGGTCCCTGCCGAGATTTGATATGAGATGAGGTTAAACGAAGGATGAAAGCAGTGGAAAACAAGAGAGAGAGGAGCAGAGGCAGTGCAGAGCAAAGTGCAGCGCTTTCCTTCTTATCTGTTCTTTCCTTTTTTTTTTTTTTTTAATTGTACATTTTCGTTTTGTTAATTGACATTTTTGGTTTCTGCTCCATGGTGTTCTGAATAGAGAGACGGGGCGCGCTTATTATTAATAATTAACTAGCCTATGATTAATTTAATTTATAAACGTAGACCATAAAACGATTGCAACTTGGCTGCAAGAAACTGCAACGACTGCAACATTGTTCATTTTGATTTGAGATCCTTAAGGGACATGAGCAGAGGAGCAGCAGAGATCGGTCTGAGGATTTTGGAGGGATTTGGAAGGATACCAGCCAGGATGATACGCAGGCATTTACTCTGTTTTGCATTTGATAACCGAACTGGCTCTATTTTTTCGTTGTTATTTCAAATCCCTGTCCCGATCACATAACAAATTCGATTATAAGTGTAATATTTGTGTAAAAGAAACAAAGGACACCCACAGACAACCGCGAGTAGTTGAGTGAGTGTCCCAAGCCCTAGACTAGGCAATAGCGTAAGCAAAACCAATCCATTCAGAAGCAGCATAAAAAGAAAAACACACCACACCCCATGTAGCCTAAGTTGAATCACGATAATGATTTATATATATAAGCTAAAACCGTGCAGTAGCAGAGGGTACGTTTCTTTTTAGCTTTAAGCAACGCTCTGATTTCTAAGACCCCCCTCCTATGTTATTATATCTTGATGTAACGCCCAAGAAATCCCCCCATATATATATACATACATATATATAAATTTGTGGTCTGCGCTTTAGCTAGATGTGTTCATTATATATTTTTTCCAACCATTTAAACACTTGTTTCTCAAGCCCGATTCATTGAAGTGGAGCTTATTGTTAAAAAAAAAGTAACACAAATGGTGTAACTAAGATAGAAATACAAAACACAATTTGCATTAACGTTTCGATTTAAACTTACGAAATAAATACAACAGAAGCCCCTTCAGCATAACGCTAGCTAATAAATTATAGCTATAATATGAAATTTGTCTATAAGTAATACCAAACCATGAAAAATAAAAAAAAAAAAAATGAAAAAAAAAGAACAAAACTTAAATTCTAAAAGCGCCAAGATGAAAATGGGTAAAAATTAAATAAAAATATATAAATTAATATACGAACTATATCTTATGAGAGAACACGTAAACACAAACATGTAAAACCCCTCAGTCTAAGAACTAACAACAAAATCAGATCACTGAACGCAGCAAAAGCCACTAAAAAAACTTAAATAAAATGCATTACGTGATATTTCTTACAAATTGTTTTTATGTTTCCTTGGTTTTTATTGCCATTTCATTTCTATATATTCAATCCAAGCGCACGCCAATGCAACTCGACCAACTTTGTAAACAAAACTATTGCAGCCAGAGATCGGGGGTTTTCCAAGTAGATAGCCCCACAACACCACCACCTTCAGACCCGGATGATTAATAGTAATAATTAAGAAAACGATTGGATAATCTAGCGAGTGTACATACGAAATATCCGAATTAACCTAACCATAAATGAAGTAAACAAATTAAATATATGTGTGATTTTCCTCCTAGCATACAAAGTACTAAACAATTAGCATTTTATCGAAAAAATCGATAACCGATTCATAATAATTATGAGCCACTAAAAATGGAGACCTAGGCGATCGATCGTGTGTATGAAAAGTCCATTCAGCATAAGCGAAAACTAGAGAAACTAACAAAATCGAAAGTTTTGTATAATTAACTGTATATGTATATTGAAAATAGAATTTTGAACTATGAACTAATGATTATTGAACTTGAATCGAGATCGAGTCAAAGGATGAATATCAAGTATATCATGGGCGATGATATGAAAACAAAATATTAACAAACCACCAACAGTGATATGGAATAAACAAAAAACAAAACAAACGAAGGATATAAAGAAAAGAAAACAAACACATGATAATAAATCAAGAAGAAATTTCATGAAATTTGAAAAGTACGTTAGAGCCGGAAATCGACAGATGTATATCGATAAGTGCACGCCACATTTATGTAATTAGCAAGTATTTCGAATTAAAAACAAACCGAACATGATTATGTATGTGTGAACAGAATAAAAGCAGCCACTAAATAAGCCACACCACTCACAATAACAATTACGAACGAGGCATTAAAAAGCTTAAACAATAATATAACACATTTCATCGGGACTAATTTTTTGGAAAAAGTATTTATACTGGGTTTGATTTACAGTAAAATTAAACAAATCTTTCTGTGCTTTTTTTTTTGGTTTTAATTTAAGGTTTATATTTTTTAAACATTTAATAGAGCTCACTGAGCCTTCTATGGAAGCCTAAAGTTTATTGAAAAAATCCAAACTCTGATTTTTTATAATTCACCTATTATTTATAAAAAGGAATTTGTAAAATTTGGTTCGTCCTATTTTGTATTAATCCTAATTAGAATTGTTTTTATTTATAAATAAACAATTCTTTAATAAGCCGTAGCAATTTTTCTGTGAAAATAACAATTAACAAAGATAGATTAATAAGGATTTTTATAAAAAAGAATTGTTTGTTAGCTTGCTTTTCATCGGATTAGTAAAATTAAAATTAAAAAATGGCTTAAATATATTGAAAAGCTAGCCAAAAATATATAAAAAATCTGACGGAAAAAAAAACGGAAGTGACATCACTGGCTAGAATAAAGCCATAAATTCTGCGATATGATGGCAAGGCAGTTTCAAAGCTCTGGCAACATTTCCCTGATCAGCTGGCGGCGTTGTTTTGTGGTATTTTTTTGCTTTTTCTTTAAGGTCACTCTGAGCACGTCTTATTGGTTTTTTTATCGCAATATTTTGCCGAAAAGGTTAATAAAAATGCCAAGATAAACAAAAATTTGTGGTGGATCAGTCTCCCTGGACTTAGAAGACATTAATCAACCCATAACATTGCAGGTTTGCTAGAAGGAACAAGAAGGAAAAGCCAGTAACCAAAAGATGGGCGCCCGACAGTCTCAATCCCGCGAGCCCCGATCCGTTTCGATGGAGAATCCAACTCCTGCCGGCGTCATAGATATATCCGATGATGTGGTCAAGCGCCTGAAGGCGGGTATCTCCCAGCAGGGTAAAGTATTCCAGTAAATAATGCCAGAAATCTGAGGGATATATCCCGGAAATTGGCTGTGCCCGGTGTTATGCAACAATTGTCAAAATGGGCAATTGTTTATGCCCACTATAAGCCTGCTTTGCTACGTAGGACTTTTTGCCATACTGTTTCCTAAAACTAATTTACAAAACCCCCCTTCAGCTCGTGAGCACGCCGCGGAGGATTCGAAGACATCGCCCAAGGCGACACCGAAGGCAGCACCCAAGCCTGCCCCAGCCACGCCGGTCGCTCCAGCGTCCGCTCCCAAGGTGTCCTATCCCACGGCCACGCCCATTTACGTGCAAGGCGGTGGACACACCATCAGTGCGGCGGATGTGCAGCGCCAGATGAACCAGGAGCTGGTCAAGAACGACGAGCTGTGGAAGGATCGCATGGCCAAGCTGGAGGAGAACCTTAAAAAGACGAACACCATCCTGGAGAAGGAGTACGCCAATGCTGTAGAGAATGTGCACAAGCGATTCGTGAACACGGCAGCGGCCCACAAGGTACCTCCCTGCCAGGAATTCAAGTCCCAGCTGCTCGCCTGCTACCGTTCGCATCCCGGCGAGACGCTCAAGTGCATGGAGGAAGTGGCCCAGTTCCGGCAGTGCATTGACCAGCATCGCGTCCAAAAGCTGGATGCCGAGCCCGTGGCCCCAAAAGCGGCCTCAAAGGCCACAGTTCCCGTTGCCAAGGCGGGCTAGGAGACTCTTTATAATTCGTTGTCCTGAGTTGATGATCTGTTCTTGAAGGCCTTCTACGGGTTTTTGTATAAATGAATTGATGGAGCGAACACAACGCGACATCATAAGCGAGGAAAGTGTCATGGCGAGCAATAGTAAACTAATTTAAATGAATCAATCGAAGAATGTTTTTATGGTGGAATGAAGTGCGATTTAAATTTCTGACTGAGCTGAGCTTATTTCTCTTCAATTAAACCAAAATCAAATAATTTTTAGTACTTCTATTTGATAAATATCAACGTTTTCTCCTCCATTCACACACAATCAACAAAACAATTCGTAATACTAATTAAATCAACAGAAAGGACATGGCTAAAGCCAGGACTAAAATGGGCCCCGAATAAGCCACCAAAACGGCGGCATTACTTTCGTAATGATCATCATGATCCTCGCAGGAGTCGTCAAAGTTTTTGGCCGGACCCAGGCAACCCGCATAGCTCATCACGTAGGCCAGATAGTTCTGCTCGAAGACGCCGCGGACTAGACTGGAACCAGGACCGTAGGCGAAAACCGCCACATCCTCACCGCCGTGGGTCTCGTCCTTGCGGGGCACTGTGGCCATGTGGCGGTAGGTGGGTGCAGTTCGCTCCTCAGCCGTGAACTGCTTCAGGGGCATCCACATGTTGGAGCTATTCTGGGGCCGCGAGTCATTGGCCAAGTGATCCCAGTAGCCGGGTCCATTGGCATACGTTATGGTCTCATAGACCATGGGATCGCTTTTCTCATGCGAGTTGGCTGCTCCCAGGATATCTGCGCCTCGGAGAGCATAGCCATTGAAGGTGACCGCATGCGAGTGATCGGCCGTCACTATAATCAGAGTTTCCTTGGGATTCGTGTTGTTCACCGCCGCCTGGATGGCCAGATCGAATTCGTAGACCTCGTGTAGGGCAGCGCGGGCATAGTTCATGTGGTGCCCCTGATCGATGCGACCTCCTTCCACCAGGAGTACAAATCCCTCGGAATCGTCGCCTCTGTCTAGGACTGCCAAGGCCACCTCGGTCATATCTTGTAGCGATGGCTCGCCCGCCTCTCTGGCAATGGAGTAGGTGATGTGATTGTTCCGGAACAGACCCATCAGGTGATCCACCTCCTTGACCTTCACCTTCAACAAATTCCTTCTGTTGTGAACTAAAACAGGGGGCACTGAATCGTTGGCATGATGGGCCAACCACTCGGCAGCAAGATTCCTACCATCGCCTCTCTCGCAAATGGTTTCAGTTGGTCCCTCGAAGACTGTAGTTCGCACCTCGGAGGCGTTTAAGATTCCCATGGGTGACATTCCTCCACCCAGGATTACATTGAAACGATTTCCTGGGGCATTCTCCACCAGCTGCCGGGCAATATCAGCATGAATGCCCACAGACTCCGCAGGAACCTCAGTATCGCACTCCCAGTCCCGGTTGTATATATGGGCATATGTGGCAGCGGGTGTGGCATGCGTGATCCTGGTCGTGGTGACTACTCCAGTGCGTTTTCCCTCCTTTTGGGCCCAATCCATAATGCTCTGGACGCGACCCGATTTGGCATTTGTCTTGGAGCGAGTGGCATCCATGCCAATGGCTCCATAATGTGCCTTGGTTCCAGAAAACAAAGCTGTGGCCGTTCCCGCGGAATCAGGAACCTGCTTATCCACATTGTAAGTCTGTAAGGGATTAACAAATGGTAACCAAAATTAAGGAATTAATTATAAGTCATTTCAAGACTGTATAACATTAGCCTTTACCGACCTTTGCCATTCCTGTGTTGGGGAAGTCATCAAAGACCAGTGACTCCTCCTCGCCAGGACCGTGCTTCAAGTACTGACCCTTGTAGATGCGACCAGCACTGATCGTGGACACACCCATGCCATCACCAATAAAAACGATAATGTTCTTGGCCTTCTTCCTGTAGGACTTCTCGCCAACTTTTTCCGCCTGCTTGATCGTTTTCTCCAGCTGCCTCATAGCCACTTTGTGCCAGAATTGCGCATCTGAAATAGTAATTAAAATAGTAATTCTTATTAAATCGGAATTAATTCAAATTAAATTGGAATTAATTCAAATTAAATCGGAATAGAATTCGTTGGGTAAGTCCCCAGCCCGCCTGTCACGTATTTATTGCCCGTCTCCAGTGAGATCCAGTTGGCACTCGAATCGTTTCTAGTTTAACTTTTTAAGTAGCCGTTTAGTTATTGCGATTTATTTTCGTGGGGAACGAGCGTTTTCAACAATATAGTTTGAGGTTTTCGCCTTTAAAACCGAAAACAAATTTCCTTTGATTTATGCACTATAATTATCTTTCAATTTCGGGTCATAAAATATTCAGCAAATGCTGTAATTGAGATGCGACTTTTTAATTATATATAATATTGTTTGAATATAATTTAAGCTTAACTTTATATTTTCTCACTTAATTTTCAAGATAACCAAATATATTCATATTTACATATTTAATTTTGATTTATTAATATTAAATTCAAGTTCAAGTGCAATTATTTTAGGTAATCTTATTTAATTTGCATTTCCTTTCGAAAATTTGGAACGTGCACTGCCTGATTCACTTGCGGTGATGATTATCATGTTGTTGATATGTAATTAATATTCCATTGAGCTATAGCTTAAGTATGGGGTCTCTACCACTCACTACCACACACCACCCACCGCCCAGCAGCCCCTGACACTGAGACAGCTTACAGTTAGGCTTCACTGCTTGACTGCTAATTTCGACTTGTCAATGAAACCAAAAGTCTATGATTAATCAATTATTTTCTCAGCTTGGTTATGGTGCAAAAACAGTTTTTTAGTGGTATAAATTCTTTATCATTGACCCTTATTGTTAAGCAATATCATGCTTAAATTAAACAATTAATGGAAATTAAACAATTGCGGTTTTAAGTCAACCGCAAAGTCTGTTGGCGCCGCATCAAAAACAGTTACATTTACATTTACTTTTCAATAGTAATTATAAATATAAACATAATCTAGGCAGGTCAACATCAAAATTCAATTAATAATTTAATAATTATAGCAAAAACTATAATTTTATTGTGAAAAATATTATTTTAATATAATGTTGAATGATTACTTGTCTGGAAAATAGTTTGCTGAGTTTATATTATTTATTTTATTTTATACCTTGACCATTTCTAAGATCAGTTACTTAATATTTCAAAACCATTACAGAACACTTGTTCTTGTTTCATAATTGAATTATTAAGCTGTTGAGGTTCAACTTAAATAATTTCACGTTTCTAGGCGTAACGCTTTTTTGGGTTCGCATTTAGCACGTTTGGCTTGTACTTATTTCAGTTACGTCGTAATTTAAGCCTCAGACTAACCTTCTGGTTCCCTCTTGCTGGACTGCTGATCCTCCAATTTAAACTGAGGTCCAATATCGCCACCGGCACTAAGAGTCCGGATCAATGGCGGTGGTTGAGTGGTGGCTGCCCAGCTAACTGCCATTAGGCCACCAAACAGAAGTCCGAACAATGCCAGGGAATGCATTTCTCACAAAGTCACGACAAATTAAGGGTTTTCAGAGATTCTACGGAGATTCCTATTTATATCACAGCTCGGCTTGAGGCGCAGATTCGGTCAGCAGGCCATCGAAATTTATACGGAATGCGCGGAACGATTTCGTCTCGGGGGTTCTCGAAGTATAACTCTCGTGTCCCCAGTGGATCTCAATTAGCGACTAACGCCTCAGTCGGCCCTCAAGCGCCGTTATATGGCGAAAGATCCATTCGAGAATCCGATCGGCCAGACACGAAGCTCCCGGCACTTACACATACAAATAAAGTAGTACCAGTATTCGGGGATTATATCCAGTACCTGTACTTATTGTGTAGGCGCTTGGGTCTTTTCGACACGTAAGAATCCAAGATTAACTATAGCTTGTTTTAATTTTACAAAAATGTAAGTCTACATTATTAAATGATTAGTTCTTAGACCACGTTAAAATTAAATATAATTTATAATAGCATTTTAATTATAATAATATAGCTATTGGTTTTTTTAATACCTCATACTTTATATCATTGAATTTAAATCAATCATTTAAATAATAATAATGCAGAGTTTAGTTAAAACTTATAGTTATGTAGAAGACATAAAACAATAACAAATTATAATACTTATAAATATAATACAAGAACAACCTACAGGATACCTTCTAGTCCATAAAAGCCACTCGTAACAATTAAGATCACCGCTGGTTGCTTGCACTGGCAAAACGTTTGTCTCAATTAAGGCAAACATCGCTCTGGCAAGATATATCCATAAAAACGTGCAAAGCTCTAGCGAATTAAGGGCTCTTTGCCATAAACATTTTAACGATCGTTTGTTTGCTCGGAATCTTGCCTCTTCCTCCCGGTAAACTCATGTCGATGCGATGATTTACAGCGGAACTTGCACGTGAAGCGACTGTCATTGTCGGCTGCTGGTCGGCTGATTTCACGATTCCCTCCCGATTGCCGTATTATCTTTATCTCGACCGATGTCTGCAGATGATGATGCCGTTGTTTGTCTTTCCCCCAAATTTGATAAAAACGAATCAAGAAGCATAGCTTCAGCAGCACACATTGCGTATGCGTGTTATTTGCACCAGGCTGGCAAACATTGAAAAGAGTTTATCTCCCGTTGCGATCCCTCAATGCCACTTTTATTCCATTTAATGGATTCTTTTTATAGAGCTAGATCTCTTCATTATATGTACAATAGAAAGAGAGTCATCGCATTCATTCTGGGCTGTAAATGAGGGGGCCTATTGTCATAGAATTCGTCTAGCCTTTGGGTGCTCTAGTTGGTGTTTCTTCTCCAAATTTAGACGTATGATAATCACGATAAAGTCTAGTGACCGATTATGATATGTGGTCACCTAAATATGGAAGTATCTTTTAAAATTTTATTAAATAATGGTCTCCCTTTTAATAAATACCCAATATGGGCTACAAATTTAAACGTTTATTAAGAATAGTAAATCAAAAATCTCTTCGTGTATCTTTTGATAAGAATTTGTTAAACAAACATGTTTTGACTTTAATGTTTAATGTTGTGACATTATTATTATGACGGAAACTTGGTCAAAAATGTCATAAATATTTGTAAGCGTATTCCAGGAACCTAAAGAAAACACGTTCTCTGATCTTAATGCCAACTTTAGGTACTTTCATTAGTTTTTATGTTTGCCCAAAGATGAGAGGTGAGTTCAAAGTCAATATTAATCTTGACAGCTGATTCCATTGTGTCGGCTGGCTGCCTATCACGTTTTATGAAATAGCATTTGGTCGGGTGATGATAGATTGTCGACACTTGGCATCATCGCATTGTAAATCTTTATCTGATTATCTCCAAGAGCCGGTGTCTCCGTGCGCACGTTTCCAGGTTGCCTGGCCAAATAGATAAATCGAAATAAAATAATGGGAAAACTTCCACTGCAAGTGACGGTCTTATCGGTCTCATTCGGTCTCTCAGTGTCTCCAACTTTGTTAATGGTTATTACATCAACTCGTGTTGATCTTTTACGCTTGACTTGAGAAGCTTTAACTTTATATAATTATAGTTGTAGTAAAGTATATACTATGACAAATATATTATTATAAAAACTATGAGAATTATAAAAACAAAACATCTTTCTTATACACAAATGTTATAACTGAGAGTTTTTTTAATACTTACTTTTGAACCTTTAAAAGCTAATTTTAAAACCCCTTTTTTTAACATCTCAAAGCTCAATACGATTTATTTTTTGAGCTATTTGCTGCCACTTTTTATTGAACTGTTTTTCATGTCACGTATAAATTTTTGCTAATATTGCTGTCGAGTATGAGTGTGTTTTTCGCCTTGGGATTTTCGCGGAGAGATTCTATAGAGAGTGTGCCTACAATCAAAAGCTGTACAATTGAGGGTCACATATTTTTGTTTTTTTTTGGGTTTGACTAGCATAAGAGAAAGTGTTTCTTGTATAAAATTTTAACTAAAGTTAAGATCAGACACATCAAAACATTTTCCCTTTCACGTTTAACTTTACAAAATACAAGGGCTGGTTTAATTTTAAATTGTGTGAATTTTTAAAATGAGTTGCTTTTGGTACAAATATTTGTATGTGCCTGACCTTATCTTAACGCGAAGTACAACTAAATGGGTAACAGAAAGTCGAAACAAAAATGATAAGTAATAGTATTAAGCAGGGCGGAAAGTCCTTTGACTATGAGAACTTCTTGGAGGTGAATCCTGCCCGCACATTACTGGTGGTGGCCGATTTCACAGTCGTCCTGCTGGTCTTGGTCACGGTTGTGGTGTCATTACTGCTGATGTTTTTGCTGCTGCTGATGCTGCTGTTGCTGTTGCTATTCTTTGTCGTCGTGTTATTGTTGTTGCTGCTGCTGCTATTGCTAACTGTGGTGATGCTGCTGCTGCTGGCACTCATCAGCAGCGGACGGCGCGGCGGCATCCGTTCGTTGACCGCATCCATGCCCTTGGCCTCGGCGAACGAGTGGATTTGCGTGGCTGCGGTCAGTCCTTGAAGAGCTGCAAATGGGGGTTAGAAAGGATGGCCAAAGTTCAATTAATAAACATCAATAGCACTGTCTTGACAGGAGGTTGAACTGTCTCTCTTAAAGAATTAATAATACAATTAATTATATGGTAATGACATATAAGAAAATATTTAATATTTAAGAATATTCTTGTATATATGCACTTTAATTTCTATTTACAGAATATACTACAAATTTCCCATTTGTACTTAATTTCCTGGATATTAGATATGCTTTACAAATGCGGTCAATATATTTCCATGATGTATCACACTTGATCAATAATCCACTTGTATATAATGAGTTATTAATTGTTTATTCCAAATTCCATTTTAATTGCTTATAAGTTCATTTGTTATCCAAAAAATTTAAATAACTAACAACGTATAATTTTGTCAGTCGATCATAGAAAATGTGTCCCAAACTAAGCAGAGTAGTTGTGCTTTTATTGCTTCTACATTTAGTTGTAAAGGTTAAAAATGTGTAAATAACAAAGAAAAACTTAAATTTAATTATAGTTATTCTTAAAGATCTCATCGAAATTCGAATTTACCAATGTCGAGTGCATATCTTTGGATAAAACATTTGATGACTTTGAATATTGCTTTCTTAAGTCGGTTAATCGGACCTACAAATACTTATCGCTGAAAGTGAACTTATTTAAAACGCCCATCACCAAAGTAAAGGTATGTAAATCTTAAAAAAACTTTATTTTAAAGTAATGTATTAATGTAAATGATATATGTATGTATTTTAGGTAAATGTAGCGCTTTTCAAACGGCTCAATGGCTACAGACCCTTCATGTATAATATCACAGTGGATGCCTGTAGATTCTTGAAGAATACAAATTCCAACCCATTGGCTATGTACTTTTGGGAGTTCTTTAAACCGTACTCAAATATGAATCATACCTGCCCCTTTGATGTAAGTGTACATACCTTGAACAAACTAGAACCCCCATCTGAAACTACTTCTTAATTATAATTATAATTATAGCATGATCTAATTTTGGATAAATTAGCTGTGAGCTTTGTAAATAATCGAGTTACAACAGTTCTACCTTTCCCAGAGGGCGCCTATATGCTGGAAACTCATTGGATGGCCTACGATATCGATCGGGCAGTTGTTAAAATATATGGAACTCTATCCTAATCTAATAATATTTTATTTTATTTGATATTTTTTTAGACTCTGTATGATATAATTTAATAACAAGGATCGGTATTTTATTTACTATTAAAACAAGAAAGGAAACTAAATTCTGGAAGCCGAAATTTGTATACTCTTGCAGTTGCCAAAGGAACTTGGCTTTGAATAAAAAATCGATCAAATCTCAACCAAAAATGCATTAAATTCAGTTTGGAAAACTTTTCTATCTTAGTTTTTTCTGGCTTAACAAATCTGCATACTGTATTTAACATTTTAAGAAATTAAAATTTTTGGTCATTTTTGAGAATTTTAATGATGTAACCCCTTATCAAATTTTGAAAAATTTTGGAAATTTTTTTTTTTTTTGATTGATGGTTAGCAAGAAGCGCCTGTTAATGCTGATCAAGAATATATATGATTTATAGGGTCGAAAATGACTGCTTCACTGCTTTGATAGCTTTTGACTGAACTTATAATACCCTTCAAGGGTATAAAAACTGATCGTTTATACTGCCTGGCATATTTTAGTATTTTAATCTTAAAAAATTCTATACAAAAAGGAAAAAAAACTAATTAGCGAAATAGTTAATTATTCTGAAGCTGTAGGTAAAAAGCTGGCAGTAATTTAAATATTAATCAGATTAAAATGCAAAATAAATCAATGCAACTGAAACATACAACTACATACATTTCTCCCATTAATCGTTGAATAATTACAATAATTTCAATATTTCTAAATTATACATTTTTGTATTAAATAATTATTGCTGACAAAACAAGCTCAGTCCTAATTTGTGCGCCTTTATTGCAAGATGTCTCGTAAAATTCTGGCTCTTCATTTGCTTGTGTTTCTCTATGTGGTTATAAAGGTTTCTATAATGACATAAAATCAAAGTCATACATTAAGTTAACCTACTTTTAGGTTTCCTGCAAAATTGAGTTCACCAACATAGAGTGCAAGTCGACGGATAAGAATTTTGCTGATTTTGAGTATTGCTATTTAAAGTCGGTTAATCGGAGTTACAAATACCTCACACTCAAAGTGAATGTGCATAAAAAACCGATCACCAAATTTAAAGTATGTAATTATACAGTGGGAATTACACACAATTATACTCCATTGTTTTAGCTTAATATGCTTCTATTGAAACGTTTCAATGGCTACCGACCTTTTATGTACAATGTCACTGTGGATATGTGCAGATTTATGATAAATCCAGAAGTAAACCCCATCGCCAACTACTTTTATGAGCTCTTTAAAACCTATTCAAATCTTAACCAATCGTGTCCCTTTTCTGTAAGTATCTTGAACGGCAGATTAACTTATGATTATCTATAATCTTTTAAATAGGAAGACGTCATCGTGGATAAATTAACTGCGACCTTTGTAAATAATAAATTTACTAATGTTTTACCCTTCCCAGAGGGCGATTACTGTTTTGAATCACATTGGATTGCCTACGAGGTCGAAAGAGCGGTGGTTAAAGTGTTTGGCACTCTAACCCCATAAATAAATATTGATGAAATAAGCTGTAAATAAGCTCAAATATGTAAAACTTTGAAAATTACTTAATTTTTAAATTAAGAAAATTTTTAAAATTAAATTATGCATTAAATACAATAATGTCTAGTACCTATTGGACCATATGCTTACCTCTGCATGTGATTATGATTTTTTAATGTATTTTTAATCATCTCAAAGGCCTATTTACAATGTATTTTAAATCTCATTTGAAGTTTCATCTGCTGTAAATGAGTTATCTATGTTATATATTGAATTGCCTATACATTATAATTAGTCATTACTAAAATATGTTTGGCGACCGAAGCATCCTATTTGCGCTCTTTGCGCTGCTGTATTTGGTTTTACAGGTAAAAAGTTATTAAATATAATAAATATAGTAATTGTACTACAAAGTTTCATTTAAAGGTCACTTCAAAGTTTGAATTTACCAACGTTAAGTGCACATCTCTGGATGAAAAGTTCAATGAGTTTGAATATTGCTATATCAAGTCGGTTAATCGGATCTACAAATACTTATCGCTAAAAGTTAAGTTATTTAAAACGCCGATTACCAAAGTCAGGGTATGAAAATAATATGCAATTTAATTAGCTACAATTTAACAAATGCATATCTTAATAATTTTAGCTAAATCTTGCCCTTTATAAGCGATATAACGGCTACAGACCCTTCATGTACAATTTAACCATAGATGCGTGCAGAATATTGAAAGTTCCAGCATCACATCCTCTTGCTAATTACTTTTATAGTTTTTTACAAAACTTTTCAAATATGAATCATACGTGTCCCTTTAACGTGAGTATAAAATAATAATAATAATTATGCAATAATTAATGCCTCTTTAATTTTGCATAGCATGATCTCATCGTGGATAAACTCAACATAGACTTTGTCAACAACCAGGCTACAAAGGTATTACCCTTCCCAGAGGGCGATTATATGCTGGAATCTCAGTGGATTGCCTATGACATCAATCGGGCAGTAGTGAAAATATATGGTACCTTATCTTAAAACTTATTAATGGTTTGTGTAATTTTTCCCGAACATAATACATTTTAATTCGTTCGTTTTTTCCTAAAATCAACAGAAAATACTGTAATAAAGACATGATTTAACAGCTAATAAAACCTTAGAATTTCTATTATATTTAGGAAAATGTACGAGTTTTCGAAATACTTTTTTCGCTGGAAAACCCATATCAAATTCGGGACGAACAGTTTTCTTATATAGTTCGTGTAATTTATGGATAATTAGGAGTAATTATCTAAATATTACAATTGCCACCATGTCAGGCTTAATGCACGTGCCAAAATTGACAATAATATAGCTTAAAATTGGAGGCTCCTAATGAGGCTTTAATTGTTGATTGAGCTTGGTTCATTACCCATTCAATTTCAACAAATAATTCAATTTTTTAACCAAAAAAACAAATTGAATCAAACAAAAGCTATTAGCCATTGTTGAAAGATGTGTGTTAAATATAAGTATCTTATATTTCTCTTTTCGCTTATATATTCAATTTTAGAGGTGAGTTATCAAAATACAATAAAATAAAATACAAAATAAATAATAAAACCTCCCAAGATATCTTCAAAATTTGAATTTACCAACGTCGAGTGCAAATCATTGGATAAGAATTTCGCCGATTTTGAATATTGCTATATTAAATCAGTGAATCGGAGCTACAAATATCTTTCGCTGAAAGCTAACGTATTTAAAAAGCCAATTACTAAACTAAAGGTATTAATTTGCAAATTCAAAGAATATATATCCCAAAAAAAAAAATAATAAATTTCCAGGTAAACGGGGCCCTTTTTAAACGTCTTAATGGCTACAGGCCCTTCATGTACAACGTCACTGTGGACGCCTGCAGATTTATGGATAATAAAAACTCAAACCCAGTGGCTGGTTACTTCTTTGATTTTATTAAACTAAACTCTAATATAAATCACTCGTGTCCCTATACGGTGAGTAATTTGTAACAAATAAATGTTTTGCAACCTAATAATATTTTCTGATACATACAGCATGATTTTATAGTGGATAAACTGAGTATTGATGAAGTTAACCATCGAATTACAAATGTTTTGCCCTTCCCAGAAGGTGCTTACATGGTGGAAACGCATTGGATTGCATATGATATTGATCGAGTGGTCGTTAAAGTTTATGGTACTCTGTCCTAAATTATTAATGAATTATTAAAGGAGTTGAAACCTATATAATGAGTTTTTAAGTGGATACACAATAAATTTGTTAAGTTTATTGAAAATGGGGAAATATTCTATTTTGCTTTTATCATAAATTGTCCATCTTTTGGCTATACACAAATACATATAACAATATGTATATTTTGGATTACTAAACAAGCCAAATGTATATTTAATTACATTCCCTTAAAACAATATTTATGGTTAATACATTTTTAATAGAGTTTTGTCTATACGAAATAGACTAACTAAAATTGAACTTAGTTCTCGTTAAGGCTTTATCCGTTCAAGATGGTTGCAAATTTTGGCAGACAGCTATTCAGCTTATTTGTAATGGTTTTTATGGCTACAAAGGTATTTACGTTTAATTTATATAAATAATAAGTATTTTTATTTAAGGTTTATTTTAAGATTTCCTCGATATTTGAATTCACCAATGTCAAGTGCACGTCTTTGGATCCAAAATTCGACAAGTTTGAATATTGCTATTTAAAGTCGGTGAATCGAAGCTACAAATATGTGTCCATTAAAGTGAATTTGCTTAAAACACCGGTTACGAAAGTCAAAGTAAGTAAATGTGTTTATTTAAATTAAAAATACCCCTTTTTTTCCCCCTTATTTTTATATTTATTTATAGGTTATTGGTGTACTTTTCAAACGCTTTAATGGCAACAGACCCTTTATGTACAATATGTCAATAGATGCTTGCAGATTTCTAAGAAACCCACAGGCCTATCCGATAGCAAAATTCTTTTTTGAATTCTTGAAATATCACTCAAATATTAACCATTCGTGTCCCTTTGATGTGAGTATACATATATTTATAATTATTAACTAATTTATATAGATATATATATAATTTGTAGCATCCCCTTATTTTGGATAAGCTACCAGCAAGTTTTGTCAACAATCAATTCACAAAGGATTTACCTTTCCCGGGGGGAGATTACCTTTTTGAATCACATTGGATTGCCTACGATGTTGATAGGGCGGTGGTTAAGTTTTATGGAACCCTATCGTAATTATTTAAAACTGTATTTAGTTTGAAAACATACAAAACGTATTACTGTCTTAAATTTTAATAATTGCTAAATGTGAAATCTGTCCAACATTCTTTTTTAAGGAGCAGTAATCGCTTGAAAAATATGTACCCATAAAAATCATTTAAAAAATACTAAAGTACAATTAATTTATTCTTAAATAGTTTATTTAGTAACTCATTATAAAATTACTTACCCTCCTTGAGGGAATCCCTTCCACCGGACAGAGCACCCACTGGCAAGGCGCCCGTGGGCGTCAAACCCTTCAGCTGGAGCACGCTCTCCGACTCCTCCCTGGTGAATATTTTGATTATTCAGCTAAGTTCTTACAACAACTACAAAAAGAGTGTGGATAATGCACCTGAGAATGGAGAAGACGCGCGACATCTTGCCAATGGCCCGTATCTTATTCCGTATTATCTCTTTGCGCAGCGCCGACATGGAAGCTGCGAATTGAGGGCTCGATTAGACGGAATCTCGCTGGATCACATGCGGGGGAATGTAATGGAAAGCAGCCGGAAAATTCGCTGGAAAGCCGATCAAAGCTGCGCAAAGCTATCACTAAGCTTTTCTATATACATATATTTCAGCGGTGGGGCATTGGCGATGGCTCAGGTGTTTTTCTTTTTTTGTGACATTATATTTGGCGGCGGTGGCGTTGACGGTAGCGTTGGCGTTTGCATTTGCATTGACATTGCTTTTGGCTTGGACCTGTGCTTAACACGTGGCTTACCTGGCTTACTGGGCGTATTATTGTTATTGTTATTATTCACGTTCGCCGGCACGAGCACAATTTTCTTACGTAGCTCTTTTGTTGGGTTTGTTTGTTGTGTTTTTTGAGTGGAAATTTGTTGGTTGTGGTGTGTTGGTACATTTATTATTATGGGTGGTGGTGGTAGTAGATTGCAGTTGTTGTTTTTTTTTTTTGGATTTTGTTTCGGAAAATATTTTTAATAGAAGATTAGTTTGTAATTCAAGTGTGTCCGTACTTGCCCACAACAACCAAAGCACTACGACATTTACACACGGATCTAGTAGGAGTATATATACCCAGCCCCAAGACCCAAACTTACCTTCTTCCAGCTCATCATCGGGTCCAGCCACCAGTTCGTCATCCGAGCAAATGTTCAGGATATTGACCAACATCTCAGTCACCTGATAAGCAAAATATATATTTAATAATCTTAATTTTTATAAATGTTTCCCCTTGATGACCAACTCACCTTCTCGCCCACGAAGGGCAGCGACCATGTAAAGACGTCCATGAAGTTGGGCAGCCAGTAGGGATGCGGTGAGCAATTGAATTGGCGGATGTTCATCACGTTGTTCTCGTACTTGAGCACAGCTGCCTTTTGTCAAATGCGTTCGTATTTGGTTGACAAATGAGCAAGTGCCGGAGGAAGAGACCGAGGATCGAGGATCGAGAGAGAAATAGGGCAGAGATATTACGAACGCAGCGCGAATTAAACTCGCACCAGCTCGCAATGCAGCCAAAAAAGATTTCGTTATTTAAAAATAGCAGCAAAAGGAAAGAACAACAACAGCAAAATAAATAAACAACCCAGACATATATAGGGACAGATACGTAAGGGAGGGAGAGATCATACCTTGTTATTGTAAACATCCAAATAGTTGGGGGCGGAGAAAATAGTGATCAGTGAGGGGAAGCCGGTAACCTGGTTCTTTCGATACATGCGGTACCTACGAAAATAAATCTATTAGATAAAGTGCTAACAAAAAGGTATGCAAATAGTTTATTCTGAAGTGAAAAGATCTCAGATAACTCGATGATGTACTCACCCCGCATCCTGAGCCTCATGAGCCCTGACTATCGACAACAGGTTGTTCTTCTGCAGGAACTCACAGCAGGCCGAGTAGCTAAAGAAGTAGGAGCATCCTCGCACCGAGTTGTGGGAGAAGAACTCATTGGTCTTCTCATTGCCAAAGTCCTCCAGCGGATCGGACCAAAGCAGATCGCACATAGGACCATAGGCCGGTGGTTCCCTGAAGCGATTTAGCTGTGGAATATGCATATACATATGTACAGGTGCATTTTGGGTAACCATAAACATTTCAGCGTGCCAGTTGTTGGCCAAATTTATTACCGTCTTGATGTCATCAAGTGTGAATATCTCGGGCGACAGGCCGCCGTGGATGCAGAGGAACTGCCCGTTCAGCAGGGCGGCGAGGGGCAGGCAGTCGAACGCCTCCATGCAGGCGTCGTAAATACTTTCCGAATATTTGATGATGCCTTCAAGCAGACAGAGACAGAGAGAGAGAGGGAGATGTAATGGCGGAATTAATGAATGGAGGAGCAAGCACCCATAGGAGAGATTTATCGCAGGCGGCGGCTTTTAAAAACCCATTAAACGCCTTTGAGAACAACCATTAAATGGAAGTAGCGGTTCGGTTTTAATATTTCTGCGGTTCTAAGATCAATAAGAGTCAAATACATCTTTAGACAGCATTAAAAATGATGGCCCTAAAATAATAATTGGAAATTTCTGGTGGAACTATTACTCGAATATTAAAATAGGGCAATAAAAAAAGGGTTTTGAATATGAAATTGTTAAAAATTAAAGCTTAAGAGTTTACCAAAATCGAATTTGAATCCTTTTAAGCCTTTCCTTTTTTCAGATTTTTAATTTTAATTTTTAACTTACATTCCTGTTTGAAGGTAAAGTACTCTGTCAGGTGTCTGCACTCGTGATTGCCTCGCAGGAGGGACAGTGTGGTGGGGTAGGTTATTTTCAAAGACCACAGATATAAAACGCACTGAAAGCAACAAGTATTTACTAGGAATTTAAATAATCGATTTATAATTAATCTTAAATTATGTCAACTAAATTATCATAAATTTATAACAGAGAATATCTGACATTTTCCCAAACTCACCTCTATGCTGAAGTAACCTCTGTCCACATAGTCGCCAAGGAATAGGTATCTGGTTGTGGCAGGTGGTCCACCCACTTCGAAGAGTTTAACCAGGTCAAAGAACTGTCCATGAATGTCACCGCAAACGGTAATGGGTGCCTCCACGTCGATCATGTTCTTCTCCTCGCGCAGCAGGGCGGCACCCTCGGTGATGATTCTCAAGGCCACGGCCTCCTCGACGCGTCCCTCCAACAAAAAGTGCTGACGCAATGCATCGAAGTTAGGTTTGCCTGTCTTGGGATCATCGTAGACCTCCGACATGGTCAATTTGTGGGTGGGTGGCAGCGGTACATCTAAGTGGGTACACCGAACGAAAAATATTTAATTAGCAGTTGAAGTTCATAAAGGAAGGAAACATTTTTGGGTGAATTAAACAAGGAACGTTTGTAAATACATAAAAATATAAGAAAATAAGGAAGAAGTATGACAATAAATCTCTCTCCTGTGAGAGTAGCCACCTCTATTGAGAATTACAAAAAATATACGTCATAATAGACAGAAAGATCAACAAAAATGTACGAATTTAAAACCAAATATTGGTTTTACATACCGAAAAATATTCTTTCTTGTGTAGTGGGGTGCATTGATAGAATTATAATAAACATTGCTGTCTGATCGCGATGTGGGTTAACGAGCTGCTGCAACTTAGCGCCAATATTCGGTTTGGCCGCTTTTCTTGGCCGCCCAATAAAGAAAACCCAAAAATTTCAGCCAGATGCAGCCACATGAGTTTCGTACGCTAATTACAAAATTTGACTGAGTGAATATAAAAGTCGAAAATTGATTGGCACACACAAAAACAAACAAACGTAGTAGTCACACAGTCGAACACCAGGCCGAACGCCATTTTTAATTGTCATAATTTGGGAAAATGTTGAAAATTTGACGCTACGACCAATAAAATGGCAATGTGTTGCAGTTGATGTTTTGTTTGTTATGGGTGCTTAAAAATGATTAAATTTATTTTTATTGACCCAATAAACCCAGAACAAAAGCAAAAGCCGCTTTTGAATTTAAAGGTTTCGTTTTTGTGTTTGGAAATAGATGTCAAGGAAATAATTAAAACTAGAATTTAATTTTACTAGCGTAGTGAAGACATTAAGTGTGTTTTGAAAAATATATTAAATATTTATTTATATTTTCAGTTCTCCATAAGAAATACAAGTTCTACAGAAGCAACTTTGTTACCTGTCGTTTATGAGTTCTCGAAATATTTTAGGAGAAATTATAGAACATTATGCAGATAAGATACACGATTTTTAATTTCCTTATAAGAGTATCTTAAGGTCTCAAATATTTTTAAAATTTTTCACGAAATCCTTACCTCCCTAATTACCATATTCTTTCAAAGAAAATGTATTTCAAAAACTACTAATTTTGACACTAATGCCGTCGGTCGGTACATCAAAAGTCCATTGATGCATGATAGAATATCATTAAAGATACAATCCCCGAAGGGGGTTTCGTGTTTGGGGTAGTGCTTGAATGGGTTCTGTACAAATCGGTTTTGAATTCAAATTTAAAATTTACCATCGACCATGCGCTCCTTGGTTTTTGTGTACTGCATTTTCTGTTTGTTTCCACTGGCGGCGGGTGTCGTTGGGTTTTTGGATGAACTCGCTGAGGACTTTGTGGATTTGTCTGCGCTGGCACTCTTGGACAGAGACGATTTTCTCGTCACCGAACTTCGCGTGGAGGCCGACATATTGTTGGATTATTTATTCGGCTTTTGTTTTGAATTCTTATGATTTTTTATGTGATTTTTTTTGTTGATTTTGTTGCGATTTTTTTTGCCTGATGTATATTTTTTAATGGCTTGATTTTTGGCTGGGTGCTAAAAGTGTTACTAGCACAAGAATTTAGAAATTATACGCCTTTGCCTAGCGTCTTTATGGACACTCATACACACACACACACACACACACACACGCTGCGGGACACATGAAAATATACAAATATATTTAGGCAATAAATAAAATTTGTTGTTATATTGTATAGCTGTGGACTTTCTTGTATTTTTAGCCAGGCAATGCCAATAGCGAGATAGAGACAACTTTTATTTATTATTTTCTTTACTATATTTTCGCCAACCATTCGCTTTGCTCGACACACACAAAATAAATGCCAAACAATTAATATTTCAATTTGGTGCAATTATTCAGAGACGTATTAACTTTTCATTAAGTCATCACATTGTTTTTTTTCACATATATTTATATATATATCTTGGCAAAGGGCACACTTCAATTGAGTCGGAAAATTGCTCGACACTTTGTGCTAATTACCCACAAAACAAACGCGAACTAAAATAGCAAACGGATATAGAAATAGAATCTGAATCTGAGTGAGTGAGCGGGCGCAAACGACAGGCACACATACAGTGGATCGCAGCTTATTTCGTGCAGTCAAGAAACTAAAGTATAAATCATCACTGCTGCTCTACCATAAGAGATATCGAAACAATTTAAATGCAGTGTTTTGAATCAGATATCCTACATTTTAAATTAAAAAAAAATATCTTCCCAATTAATAAGAACAAACAATAATATTAAAAAAACAAATTTATGACCTTTTTTCACGCCGCAGCTTATTTCGTGCAGCTAGTTAAAATGTAAGAAACAATGAATTTTTGGCTTAATTTTTAATTTTTTTTTTTTTTTTGGCTTTGGTATTGGTAGCTTATGTATATTTTAAAAGTTTCTTGGCCTGATCACACTAAAATATGAAGTTATGGGGAAATAAGTAAAATAGGATCGCGAATTTCTATTAAAATACGATAATTAGTTCTCTTTCAATTTAAGACAGAAAAAAAATCACCGTGGTACTACGAAAATGTTATTCTTAAATCGCACATATATAAAAACATAAATTAATCGTTTGTCCGTGAAGATTGGGCCAAACATAAGGGCCGAAATGCACCGAATACATTTTTCAGTGAACATTAAGTTCATTACATGGACCAAAAAAAAGTGAAATCATTAACAAACGTCTGCCAAATTTGTTATATAGATAGAGCACGAAATAAGAAACAAGTGTAGTGCCGATTTAATACGCCTCTTGTTGCAAAAATACATCTATAAGGCTCTAGTAGTATGAAAAGAGCCATTTATAAGGAAACCAGCACAGGAGCAACATCAAAACTTTTCATAGGAGCTTATAATTCGTCCGATTTTCTTTTGGAATGTTTTTATCTTTACCAATAAGTAAAAGTTTAACTAATTTAATCCTGATGACAGTATAAATTATTGGCGGAGACCCAATATTGAGCTATAAACCAAACACTTGCAAGCTACTCTGAAGCAAGGCGGCGATCGTGTCTTATTTGGGCCTAAATGGCTTCCTGTAGAGTAGGAAACCAAATTTTTTTTGGCAGGATCTTGGAAACCAATATGTTCCCTTCAATATAAAATGTTAACTTCTTTCAAAATGTAGAAAACGTGGTCACACGGGATAGTTTGCAAAACTATTAGTACAGCGGTCTCTACTACTTATCGGACTTTCGGAAGCTTTAGCTCACACAAAACGGTCCTAATGACAAAAAAACAACATCAATGTCACCCAGACATAATCCTTATTTAAAATTTTTAGCAAATATTGGACTAGCCATCCCAAAAATTAAAAGTTTTGACCAAAATTATCAAAAAAGTAGTGCCTTAGAGGAATTGATTAAAATTAATCTAGAAACATTAAAAAAACTAGTTAATTCAATTGAAACATCATCTGAAAGGTATTCAGAATAAAATAAGAGGTCACATAAAATTGTTTATATTAAATTAATAAAAATAAGTTGAATCAAACGAAGTGCACGAAATAAGCTGCGGCATGAAAAAAGCCCTCAAATTAGTTTTTATTAAAATACAAAATCGTTTTTATAATTAGGAAGATTGTCTTTGTTCAGTATAAATGCTAGTACAAGTACTAAAAGTACTGCGTTTAAATATTTGGATTATCTTCAATCGTTTAGCCACAGGGACGTTTTAAATTTTCGTTTCTTGACTGCACGAAATAAGCTGCGATCCACTGTATATCACTTTGGTCACACTTTGTGTCTGCAATTATTATGATTGTTTTCTTGCAGATCTTCAGGCTAATCCTGGCGGGTTTTCGTGCCTTAGTCTCGCTGGTTTTCTTCGTTTTCCTCGTGGAACACGACACAACGCATTTCCCAAGTTGGCGCGTCGCGATTTTCCTCGAAACTGAGCGAAAAAATTTGTTTGCCAAACGATCCGCAGCGTATGGCATCCAAGACCCAAATCGAAAGCCCGAAGAAGATCGGCACAGATCGGCGGAGATCTCTCGCCGGATCTCTCAGGCTGCGCCCTTGACTCGTACTCTCCGATAAAAATACACGGAAAACATTAGATGTCTTATTAATATTTAGGCATTTTCAGAGAAAGAATAATTCAAAAATGTAATAATATTTTGGTTTTATTTTTTACAAAATATACTTGTATATATCCAAGGAAGGGAAGGATAATTTTAGATTTTCTTTGTGAATTTCAGAACTTTAAGGTAATAAATAAATTGAAAATAAATACATTTTTTTAAATAACATAATTAGTAAGTCTTTAGTTATTTAAAACTTCATATATATTTTATATTTAATAGATGATTTTTGACTAAAGACTTTTATAAGTAATTAAAACTTGTAGAAACCCCTTTTTTAGTATTTAAAAATATTCCAAATGTTCACAAATATATTCCTATTTTTTTTTCTGTGTAACAATATTACCCCTCTCTCCTGTAGGGTTCCTGTCTTTGCTCTACCGATCTATTTATTTATTTTATTGGGTTAATGTCACACACGCACTTTGCTCACACACTGTCTCTCCGCCTCGTTCAGTGCTCCCACTTCCCCCTCGAAATGCCCTTCTGCCGATCGTCGATTCGACGACCTTCGCAGACATTTACACATCTGCGCTATGTCTCCCCCAATTCCCCATTCTATATCTCATTCGACATCCACATCCACATCCGCTCTCAATGCTTTTCAACTTGACCGTGAGACGCATCGTCGTTGTCCGCTTGTCCGTGATATTGAGTGTGTGCGTACGAGTGTGCCTCTGCCTCTCGTTATATGTGTGTGTGAGTGTGTGTTTGCCAGAAATTGGGCGCCAATAGGTGGGTGTCGCTATAATTATAGTCTTGACTTTGTGCGCGCCTCGTGCAAAAATATATGGGTACTATAATTAGTGGGGTATATTTGTGAGGTTAAAGGATATGACAGGGATTAAGTGAAATTTTAATTTAAATATGAAATAAAATATTTGTGATAAAATTAAATTTAAATATAAAATAAATATACGTGTAAAAGTGAATTTAAAAGACTATTGGCTTAAAATTAAAATTCTAAAAAACTCATATCCTTTTAGAAACCAATTTTGCTTAAGTTTAAGTGAATGTGGTTTGAAAAATTGCAACAAAAGTTCATTTAATAAATAATTACCATTAAAATAAGAGAATAATATGGGTTATTGTACATAGTTCTTAAATATATATTACACAAAAAAATATAAATAAATTTTTGTTCTTAGTAAATCTGATTTTTGTAGAGTATTTAACCTTTTTCAATATCTTTAAACCGTTTTTCTAGTGGAACCAATTTCATGCAACTTTTATGCGAAGCGTGGCAATATTTTAACAACAATCTGTGTAGATATACCAGCAGCACACACACACACACACACACTCTACACAACCAATTCACAACCGTAAGTGAGCCTGTGTGTTTGTCTTGTCAATGTTGTTTGTCGCGATGGTCAATTGATATGTATGGCGGGTGAAATGCTATATCGCCCCGATAGCTCTCCATAATATATGCTCGGAAGGATGCTCTCTGATGGAATTGGGTCTGAAATTGCAATTGCCGAGCAATGCCAATGCACTCGCAGCTGCTGAAATGCGCATCGATGGCTGTCGTAGCATTTGAATTGCGGATTTTCGATTTTTTTTTTTTGGCAAGGAGCAGAGACGATTTTACTTGGACGCCCCCGCAGTGCTGCTGAAATCACAACGAGAGAGTGAGACAAAAGCAAGTCGAGTCACACGACCGCCGCAGACTAGAAAGAAATACTTTCCGGTGCTAACCAGTGGGTGGAATTGTGGGTGCTTTGGGTATTTGGGGGCCGTAAGGGGCAGGTAAGTGGTCGGTAAGGGGGTTGGCAAGGGGTGGCCTCAGGGTGGGCGATGAGAGCATTGCATTCTCGTCGCGACATTTTGGCAAATGCGCTGACAGCCCGACTCAGTCCAGCCCCCTGTCCTTCTGCGAGTATATTAATATAATCTCTGCTCCCAGGGGGTGTATTAAACTTTTGAATATATAACTTGTTTTTGAGAATATATGATATGATTTTTAAGAAATATTTTACAAAGCAAATATTTTTTCCAAAAAGAATTTAAGAATGTGAATTTCCTTTAAAGAAACAAACCAAAAATCTTTACATTATTAAATGTAAATTAAAAATTGTAACTAAATTTGAAATATCTTGAAATTTAACAACTTAACTAATACCCAAACTATAGCCAAAACAAGAAAGTTACAAATAAAAATTAATAATAAAATATATCTAAAAAAATTTTTTAATTATTTATTTAAATCTTTACTACCAGGTACACCATCGTCTCATGCTTTTTATACATTTCTCTATATATACTTCTGATATCTGCTTGTTTTTATGGCCAAAAATATCTTTGGCAGCATATTTTAAACGCAATTAAGAGGCGTCCCAAAATCAGCAGCCAGGGAATTGTTGCAGTCCTCTGGCCGAGATTAAGTGGACGACACTCGCAATTGATTCACCTCTAAATTATAAACTAGCAAGATCGTACCATTTAAGCCAAAGCAATGTGAATGGCATTTGTTAGGAGATTTGCTTAAATAATTTGCCAGTCAAGTTGAGTCAAGTTGTTCGCATTTCAGCGCCTGACACTTTGAACACCCGGTTCGTCATGTTGGCATGTCACAATGTCTTTATTTTTGAAAATAGCAGAATGCCAAAATAACCACAAATATCCCAAAGAAAAAAAAAAAGAGCCAGCTGCCGGTCAAGTATTTTAAAAGCAATGTTTTTTATGCTCGCACGCAAAACTCAATTGCTTCCTTCTTCTCTCTTTTTTGCCACATAAACAAAACGCCACTGAAATAAAAAGATAATATTGACACGTAACGCAAACATTTCATTCATTGTTTGAACTTTTTTTGCTGTATTTTTTCCTATTTGTTGTTGTTTAGTTTTCGTTCTTTTCACGGCTGTTGTATAAACAATTCATTTGAATTATGTGACCACAGCGGCTGGGCGGTTATGTGTGAATGATGGCCGATTTCTGTGTTATTCAGTGGCCAGTAAAATGAAATAATTATAACTTTACTTCCTCAAACATTACTTAATTAAATTTATTGTTATTGTAGATTAATTTCGATCAGAGAAAGAGGGAAAGTTCAGAAAGAAAGCTTAGCCTGTTCAGCCACCTTAAGAAAGCTTTTCATAATGCCTCAAATTCAGCTGAGTTTTTCTTAGAGAAAAAATTGTAGAAAAATTAAACAAAAAAATGTGAATAAGTCCTTATTTTGTTTAAATAAAATTGACTAAAATTAAAAACCTATCTGTGACATTTTTTATTATTTTATTTAATATTACCCGTTTAGAAATAAATCAAATTAAGAACATTTAATAATTTTCAAAGATTTTTCAATGTTTTAAATTGTTCATAAAGGTTTATATATTTGCTAAAAAATCCTAAAAAAAAATTTAGAACATTAACAGGATGTTAATATTTTGAAATATTAATATAAAGGAAATATATATTATTTAGTAAATGCCTTAAAAACAAATCTTAAAATAAACCCACTTAATTTTAAGTGCACGTTTTTAGTTTCTTAAAACATATTACTTATTTTTTACTTTAACTCAAAAGAATCCTGTAGTTTTTGTATTATTTTTTCTTGTGAGTGCATTGTCTTCCATTAAAACTCTTCATGTCTGCGGCTGCCATTTTACAAATTGATAAACTTTACAGTTATCATTGTTTATGTATCTTTCCGGCCCAAGCCTTCATCCCCTCTTAACCTTTTGGCCTCTTCTTACCCCTTTTCGCCCCCTCTTAGCCCTCGTTTTCATCATTGTTTTCCCGGCTGCCTGCCAAACATTTGCCAAACGAAAAGTTTTCTCTTCTTTTTTTTTGCTGTTCACATTTGTTTGCTTGGGATTTGCCAAAAACAGAAGCGTCCAAAAAACGAGAGGAAAAACCAAAGCAGAAACTTCAAATATAAAAAGGCAGCACAAATTTTTATTGAATTGATTTATTGACTTACTTATTTAGGCGCTCAACGCTCATAGATAAGCGTTGCCTTGCTGAAACCTTTTTTCCCCAATTTTCTTTGTTTTCTTGCTGTCAGTTGGCAGCAATAACAAGGGCCCAAAATAAATATTTAGTTTTCATTTATACAATTTTCCTCAGCCTGGGCCTCTGTCCCGTCTCCTTCCCGGGGGCCCATTTCGTGTTTAACTTTATCTGGGGGTCAATGCAAGTCTATAAAAATCTAGTTAATTGAAAAGTAACCAATTGCGTGTCTCTAGGGATGTAAATGGGTTTACATTACTCAGCATTCTATTGGTTTTTGTATTTATTTGAATTATAATTGCTTAACTCTAGCAGTATTTTAAATCTTTAACAATAAACCTTCGTTTTATTATATAATTTCACTTTTTATTTCATTGTTTTATCCCTTGAGTATATAATTATTTATTTTTTAATCTCATTTCCATACATTTAGTAAAGCTTAAAATAAATTTTAATGTTTGCGAAAACATTTCTTGAACGAATCCACCGAAACTCAAAGAGATAATCACCTTCGGGAAAGGGAAGAATTTTAGTCACTCGGTGATTCAAAAACTCAACGGGTAACTTGTCCAAGACAAGGTCGTTCTTAAACGAATACGATTAAGTAAAAAATATATAACTCATTGAGAATAGTTACCATATAGGGACAGGAATGGTTAAGATTGCTATACGGCGTGTACGAGTCATAAATAAATTTGGCAACAGGATTTGACTTTGGGTTATCCAAGAATTTGCATCCGTTGACTGTTATATTGTATAGAAAGGGGCGATATCCATTAAAACGTTTCCACATAACCAAGTTTACCTATAATTAATGTTTAGAAATATGAATGGGCTATATTATAAAACTTATATTATTAAACATACCGCCAAGTTGGCAAAGGGAATTTCATGCAACTTAACTTTTCCAGATAAATACTTGTAGGTCCGATTAATGGATTTTATGTAGCAATACTCAAACTCGAGAATTTCCTTGTCAAAGGAAGTGCAATTTACGTTTGTAAATTCAAATCGAGAATCAACCTTGAACGAAAATAAATAAAGAGTATTAATTAATTATATTATACTTAGTTTATACTATACTTCAGTCGCAAAATGCAAAATGATTAGAACTGAGGCCAGCGAAAAAGCCTTAATGGACATATTGCTAGACCTGTACTAAAGTACTGCTGAATTTCTATTCAGCAAAACAAATTTCATCACCAAACCCAATTTAAAATAGCTTAAGCATTCAGAATGTAATTATCAATTACATTAGGTTTTGAATGAAACAAAAATTAAAATTAGAGACTAATTATAGTCTATTTTTAATGGTTTTGAATTCATAGCGTTTCTATCTAACTTTTATGAAACAGTACAATATATTTTAGCGCTTCCAATCACAGATCTAGAACGAAACCACAAGAATTCAAAGAGATAATCACCTTCGGGAAAAGGAAGAATTTTGGTCAGTCGGTGATTCATAAAGTCAACGGGAAGCTTTTCTACATATAGATCGTTCTTAAAAAATAATAAAAATAATTTTCATTATCACATTTTCTTTTGAAAAATACAACTTTAGAATACTTACATTGAAAGGGCAAGAATGATTAAAATTTGAAAATGTCACGTATGATTCGTAAACAAATTTAACCACAGGGCTTGATTTCGGTGTTGCCAAAAATTTGCACAAGTCCACTGTTACATTGTAGAGAAAAGGCTTATATCCATTTAAGCGCTTCCATAATACAAAATTAACCTAATATATATTGATAAATTATAATAGGAACTTTAATGTTAATAACTCTACATACCTTCATGTTTGGTAAAGGAATTTCATACACTTTAAGCTTTCCCGATAAATATTTATAGCTGCGATTAATAGACTTCAAGTAGCAGTATTCAAACTCGGCTATTCTCTTTTCATAAGAAGTGCAATTAATATTTGTGAATTCAAATCGGGAATCGGCCTTGAATGATAGTAATTAAAGAGTATTAATTTAATATTCAGAAGAATGATTTTATACTATACTTCAATCGCAAAATACAAAATGGCTAGAACTGACACCAGCAAAAATGCCTTAATGAACATCTTGCTAGACCTGTACTAGAGTACTAACATTATATTGCTGAATTGAATTTATATTCAACAAAATATAATCACTATTAAAACTAGCTTAGATACTCAAAACGTAATTATCAGATACAAAAGCAAAATCAATTACCAATTCGAGTTTTGTGTTTTGAATAAAACAGAAATTAAAATTGTAGACTAACGACTTTTATAATTTAGTTTTATTGGAATATATATTGTATCTTAGGTTAGCTCGTTAGCTCAAATTGGTTATCTAACATTCATGAAACAGTACAATATACTTTACCGTTTCCAATCACAGATCTATCACGAATCCCTATAAATTCAAAAAGATAATCGCCTTCGGGAAATGGAAGAATTTTGGTTAGTCGGTGATTAACAAAGTCAACGGGAAGCTTTTCCAAATACAGATCATTCTTGAAAAAATTACAATATAAATTTGATTACACAGGAACACAAAATTAAACTTTGTGAAATTTCCACGAACCATTTCAAGTTTTCCATGATATTTGAGTGCTCCTGAGTAAAAGCCCCATACAAAATTATTTTCCATCACCTACAGGTTCCGCGGTATACCTAAGAATACAAAAAACCTATGTTTGCCGACATTTTGAATTACGTGGCCTATATAATTGGACTTACCTTTATTATTTTTTGGTAGGACCTACTCTCAATACATCACGGCACTACTAAAAAATAGTCCCAATCGTGGACCATTGTCCATGTCTTTGGAATTCGACGCCAAAGTTGAAACTCCCAAAATTTTCAACATTTCTGTTATAAAAAAACAATTCTGAGAATTAAATCTTCTATGGGACTAATTTTAAATTTTCATTGAATCTATTGCTCATTGTATTCTTTAATTTCGGTTTTAAAGCGTTTTCATGAGGACATTTTATTGGATTTATTAAACGAATAAAACAGATTTTTTGGTTTTATTATCTACTACTATTTGCTGTCAAATTTTAAATAAGTCAAGGCAACCTATAAAATAGTAGTAGATTTGTTTATTTTTATATATAATATAAATTTAGTTTTATATTAAATAAAAAGGTCTTCCGAACATAACATTTTTAAGACAGCTTATTAGCCAGCGATAATCCTTACATATTTAAGTTTAGTCAAAAAGAAAAAATGTATATTATATATAAAAAGAAACAAATCTAATACTATTTTATAGGTTGCCTTGACTTATTTGAAATTTGACAGAAAATAGTAGTAGATAATAAAACCAAAAAATCTGTTTTATTCGTTTAATAAATCCAATAAAATGTCCTCATGAAAACGCTTTAAACCGAAATTAAAGAATACAATGAGCAATAGATTCAATGAAAATTTAAAATTAGTCCCATAGAAGATTTAATTCTCAGAATTGTTTTTTTATAACAGAAATGTTGAAAATTTTGGGAGTTTCAACTTTGGCGTCGAATTCCAAAGACATGGACAATGGTCCACGATTGGGACTATTTTTTAGTAGTGCCGTGATGTATTGAGAGTAGGTCCTACCAAAAATAATAAAGGTAAGTCCAATTATATAGGCCACGTAATTCAAAATGTCGGCAAACATAGGTTTTTTGTATTCTTAGGTATACCGCGGAACCTGTAGGTGATGGAAAATAATTTTGTATGGGACTTTTACTCAGGAGCACCCAAATATCATGGAAAACTTGAAATGGTTCGTGGAAATTTTTGGCTGTGTACCTGTGTTATTAAACTATATATTTCACCAAAAATAAGGGATACTTACATTGAAAGGGCAAGAATGATTTACATTTGAATAGTCCACGTATGTGTCGTAAACAAATTTAGCAACTGGGCTAGATTTTGGTTTTGCCAAAAATTTGCATACGTCCACAGTTATATTGTAGAGAAAAGGTTTATAGCCATTGAAGCGCTTCCATAATATAAAATTAATCTATTTTATTTTTATAAATGTTAATAGGATTTAAATATTATCCTGATAACTTTACGTACCTTCATGTTTGACAGAGGAATTTCGTTTAATTTCAGCTTTCCCGATAAATATTTATAGCTGCGATTTATGGATTTTAGGTAGCAATACTCAAATTCAACTATTCTCTTTTCAAAAGAAGTGCAATTTACATTGGTAAATTCAAAACGAGAGTCGGTCTTGAGAAAATTATATTATAGCATCAAAATTAGAGTTAAATCGTATTTACTTACCTCAATAAAACCATATATTATGATGAAAATAGAAGCAATCGTGGCCTTAACGAACATTTTGGAATAGCAATGGATTTTAAAGTACCTATTTTATATTTCTCGATCGCATTTATATAGAAAATAATGCAAGCAAATATAATATAATTTACTAATTCTAATTTCAAATAGATTAAAATTATTAACAATAATTATACAGTAATCAGCATTGTTGGACGTTGAATATTAAAGTACGGAAATTATTGAACAATAAGAAAAATTGTATAGAAAATATAGAACCAAAAATAAAGTAGGATTAACAAACGAAACTTACCATCATGGAAAAGTTTATGAATATAATTATTGCACAAAGCGAGAGTGCCTTTAGGCACATGTTTATAAATACTAAGTTTGCCCATTTAAAACTAACATGGTTCACGTAAAATGAGTGGAATAATAATTAAAAATAGATTTACAAATTCATAGTCATTTTAATGATATTAAGATATAGTTGTCTTCATGGTTATATCTAAATGTTTTCTAGAATAAAAACTAATGGACATTTAATGAGTCGAAAATATTTTTAGCGATATAAATAAAGGTATTACTTATTATAAAACATTTTTATTTGTTACTTGTATCGAAAAATATATTTTACAGCATTATCATTATTTTAAGAAAGCGTTCCATATACATCAGCAGAAGCAGTAACAAAATTCCCAATTAGCCAGTGGATTTTAACAAGGTAATCGCCCGTCGGAAAAGAGAGAACCCTCGTAAACCGATTATTCACAAAGTCAACGGGAAGCTTGTCCAAAGTAACTCCATGCTGAAGAAGTCAACTTTTAATGTGCAAATAAATAATATAATATTTGAGAAACTTACATTAATTGGGCATGTGTGGTTCATATTCGTATAATCCACAAATGAACCATAAATGAAGTTTGCTATAGGATTCGATTTTGGATTTCGTCTGAATGCACAGTACTCAAATGTGATGTTATATAGAAATGGCTTGTAACCATTGAATCGTTTCCACAGGCCAATGTTCGCCTTTGTTTTTACAAAATAAATATCTAATTATAATGGTTTTATGTTTGTTTTTCCTACCTTTATTTTTGTTAGTGGAACTTGAGAGACATTGAACTTTCCAGAAATATATTTATAGCTCCGATTGATCGATTTTATAAAGCAGTATTCAAATTCACCAAACTTTTTATCGTAGGATGTGCACACAAAGTTGGTAAACTCAAATCGAGTTTCTGTCTAAAAAAATGGAGAATATATGAAATATATGAAAGAGAATATATTAAACATAATTCAAACAGGAAAAACGTACCTTTGAAACTAAATAAATTATTATAAGTGGATGAAAGAGCCATCTGGGTTTTAGGAACATCTTCAAACAGCACTATATCGAATACTAACTTTGCTTTTTTGATTAGCATTAATACAGTATTAGCTTTCACGCTTATGATCTTTCATTAAAATCCCATTAAAAATACGATTAAAAATCCCTCCTTTCTAAATTTTTAGTAAAATAATAATAAAATAGAATAGAAGTAAAAATAATTTTAACAAATGCCTAGTCATGTTTATGATATTTAGATATAAATATCTTCATAGTTTAATCTAAATTTCCGCTAACTTAACAACTAATTCGAATTTAATGAGTCGAAAATATAAATAAATATAAACATAAGGCTTGGTTTATTAGAGCAGTTTCTAAAACATTTGTTACTTGTGTCATACAAAATTATAATATAAAAATATTATATACACATCACATCATAAATTTGAACTTATGAAAGTGTTCCATATACTCCGACCTCGGCAGTAACAAAATTTCCAACTAGCCAGTGGATTTTAATAATGTAATCGCCGGTAGGAAAGAGAAGAACCTTCATAAAGCGATTATTCACAAAGTCAACGGGAAGCTTGTCCAAAGTAACATTAAGGTATTATTTATTATAGTTCACTGTTGAATATATAATGTAAAACATTTTTATTTGTTTCTTGTATCGAAAAATATATTTTACAACATTATCGTTATTTTATTAAAGCGTTCCATATGCTTCAGCAGAAGCAGTTACAAAATTACCTCTTAGCCAGTGGATTTTAATAATGTAATCGCCGGTAGGAAAGGGAAGAACCTTTGTAAACCGATTATTCACAAAGTCAACGGGAAGCTTGTCCAAAGTAACTCCATGCTGAAGAAGTCAACTTTTAATGTGCTGCATTTGAATATAAAAATCATTTAAAAAACTTACATATAAGGGACATGTGTGGTTCAAATCGGTATAGTCTCGTATTGTACCATAAATGAAGTTGGCTACAGGATTCGATTTTGGATTTCGTAGGAATGTACAGGTGTCGAAAGTGATATTATATAGAAATGGCTTGTAGCCATTGAATCGTTTCCAGAGCGCAATATTAGCCTTTTGAAGAAAATAATTTCTATTATTTAGTAATATAATGCTTTCTCCCACTTACCTTCATTTTGGTTACTGGCAGCTGATGGACATTGAACTTTCCAGAAATACATATATTTATAGCTGCGATTGATCGATTTTAAGTAGTAATATTCAAATTCACCAAACTTTTTATCATAGGATGTGCAAACAAAGTTAGTAAACTCCCAGCGGGACTCGGTCTGTAGTTAGAAAGTTAATTACAAATATATATTTATGTTATTAAAATATCTAGGGTTGACAATGTAAAATTAGCATTATGGAAAAATTGATATAAATATTGATATATAGACAAATATAGTACTCGTATTATTAAAAATAATTTTTAAAATACAGAAGAATACCTTTAAAACTAAATAAATTAATACAAGTTGAAGGCAGAGCCATCTGAGTTTTAGACACATCTTTAAACAGCAGTTTATTGAATACTATTCTATTTACGTTGCCTTTGGATTAGCATTAAAATTAGTTTCGCATGGTTAATCACAACTTAAACAACAATGTTTAATGACACACAATTATACAAATAATGTTATTAGCTTTCATGATAATGATCTTTTATAAAAATGTCATTGAAAATCATTAAATTTTTGGTACAATAGTAGGTACCAAAGTCGAAAAAATTTAATCTATAATATGAAATGTTAATAGAATTCCCAAATAGACTTTTTCCAGTTAAATTGATATTCTATATTCTATATATACTGTATTTGGAAAATGTATAATGTATAATTTATGAAAAAGTTCCATAGATCTCTTTCAAGACAGCAGGATGAGTTTTCGTTAACGCAGATAATGTCTTCGCTAAAAGAATTAGGTAACATTATCAATAAAGTCAAGGGTTCAATGAAAGTATAACCTTACATAGAGTAAACAAGATTTCTTTATGTTTAAATCCTTTATGTTAAAGATCCATAAATCTCACCCAGAGCTGCACGATGCTCAGAATGCAGCCAATATATCCTGCCAAGGTAGTCCCCTCCGAAAAAGGAAGAAGTTTTGAGAGGCTTTTGTCCAAAAAGTCAATCGGAAGCTTCTTCAAGGTAATGTCGTGCTTAAAAAAAACGTAGTTAGGTTTGGATAATGTTTAAGGGTTTCATAAACTTACTTTGATTGGGCACGATTCGTTAAGACTTGTGTAGTGGGTTTGTATGTCGTGTATAACTTGGCCAATAGGATTAAATTTCGTGTTTCTCAATAATGCGCAAACATCAAAAGTAAAATTGTACAGAAAAGGCTTGTATCCGTTAGATCGCTTCCACAGAGCCACGTTAATCTTATGTAGAGAATTAGTTTTATAATGATTTTTTTTAATGCTTTGTTTTTGCTTTATAAATACCATTAGTTTTGTCATTGGCAGCTTATAAAGCTTTAATTTCCCGGAAACATATTTATAACTCCGATTGACCGATTTTATGTGGCAATATTCAAATTCACCAAATTTCTTATCCAAGGTACTGCAAACCAAGTTTGTAAACTCAAATCGAGATTCTGCCTGGGTTTTGGGTAAAATATTTATATAAGAAAGGAAATGTATGTTTATTGGAATTACCTTGAGTAATAAATTAATTAAAATAATTGTAAAAAAGAGACAAACGGGCTTTGGGTACATCTTGAAGCTTTGAACTTCTAACAACAACTAATTACGTTTAGTGAAAACTCATTTCAATATTGTTACATCTACTAGAGTTAAAAATAATTTAAAATAGCTTAAGCATATAGATGTAGGTATTCAATAACATCAATAATATATTTGTAATGCTCCATTAATTCTGAAAATAGTGTCACCAGATATGCGCGAATTTATGAATAATAAAATAAAACTTATTCTATTTATGAAATTTTTGCTTGAAAGTTAAATGCTTCAGTATTGTTATTATATTTTTTTAATTGTCTTAATTTATTTACTTTTCTTTGTCTTAGGGAATTTATTGTTTATTCTGTGTTACCTTTTTATACTTTCTATTAAACCTTGTCACTTAAAAATAACTTCCTTTTACCATTTGACAGTTGAGAAATTTAAGTAAAACGTTGAATCCACTCCAGCAAACGTTTATCTCATTTTGGCAGCCACTTTGACCGCTTTTGGGACCCCCCGCCGGCTGTCTATCAATGATTTGGGATCTCTCGTTATGCTCATCACGTTGGCCGCATTAATTTGCACACACGATAACCCAGCAAACTGGGGTGTATCCCTTCCCCACCCCCGATTTCTGGGGGCAATGCAGCTCCTGACGCTAGATTTACTTTATATGAGCTGCAAATTGGTTGCCCACGTAAATGATTTTCATTTTCCAATCATAACATTACGCGTGCCTGCACTGCCAAATGCTCACCTGGTGGGAAAACCCAACCGATGGAAATGGAGATGGAAAAGTGGGAAAGCCCGTAAACATTTGCGGGACTCACAATTTGATTTTTCCCCGGATTCGCGCCACGCTGCTGTGGCTGTTGCTGCTGATTACAATGAGGCGGCGAATTGAATTAACATATTGGCCGGCGGGCGGAATTATGGCTCTGGAAAAGCTCTGGATATGGCTTAAATTGTCTGCAAATAATTTTGCCATGGTGTGTGGGGGACGGGGAAGGGGAAGGGGCTGCGGCGAGGGG